TGAGGACAGGCACTGGTCCTTAGTGACCTTGCAGAGAACTATTTCCATGGATTATGGAAGGAAAGCTCAATTGCAATAAAGCCAAGAAAAAGGGAAGAGGTTACAATGAGTAGAGGGTGGAAGACAGACTGCCTTTCAAAGTGTCTGGTTACAGGAAGCAGAGGAAGTAGGGGAGCGGCAGGAAGGCCTGGAGACGCGGCAGCAAATGTGGATTCTCCTATGAATGATCAGCAGAGAGTGAAGAATACATGATGAAGGGAGGACGGTGGCATCTAGTCCTGGGCTAAGGGACCGGCCTGCACTGGGAGCCAGACATCCCCACACACACACCCGGAAGGCAGGCAGGAGGCACTGGGTGGCCACAGCGTCACTGCTGGGGAAGTACCCATGAGGTTGCTCTATGTCCTCACAGATAGGAAGGTAGGTCATCAGTCCCTAAGGAGGGCAGTGCCAGAGGCCTGACAGTTCACAAGAGGCACACAGTACACGGCGCCCGAGCAGGGGACACGCTGCCCACCTAGAGCCAAAGAACTTTGAAAAAATAATGTAGACCTTCTCAAACTTTTTTTTTTTTTTTGAGATAGAGTTTCGCTCTTTTGCCCAGGCTGGAGTGAGGTGACGCAATCTCGGCTCACTGCAACCTCTGCTAATTTATTGTGTGTATTTTAGCAGAGATGGGTTTCCACCATGTTGGCCAGGCTGGCTTCAAACTCCTGACCACAGGTGATCCACCTGCCTTGGCCTCCCAGAGTGCTAGGATTACAGGGTGAGCCACCTCGCCCAGCCTCCTCAGGCATTTTAAGTTCATATGTCAAATTTGCAATTCCAGTTTAGAATAGTTCCCAAGGATGTAGTCTGTATCGACATTCTTAAAGGCATCCCAACATTATTTTAAATATATACTTAAATTCAGATACCACCATATCATAATTCATCTAAAAATACATCTGAAGCTCCTTTTTTGCTGTGTGACCGCCGGAGGGCACATGGTCCTCACTGCCTGACCTCTGGCCCAGGCGATAGGTCTGGCTCAGGACCCTAGGAAGCTGATCCAGGAGGCACTAATCATCAGTGGGAGGCTGGCAGGGCTGACCTGACAGGTCAGGAAGGAGAGGCCCCTGAGGATGGAACTACCTGGGCAGCGTCAGAGGTGCCCCAGGCACGTGGCAAGCACATAGTGCTGGAGGAGGGCAGAACTGCCCAGGGCATGAGTGAGGGCAGCTGCAATCGGCTCCTGGCTGTGTAGGACTCAGCAGCCACCCCGCAGCAGTTCTTGGTGGATGCCCAGGGGCAGGGCATACAAGTGCCTCAGGTAAGCGTAGGGAGGGCTGCACCCTCACCAGGAGTCAGAACTGAGAGATCAATGGCAGTGAAACAGGGGACAGCTACTTATAGCTGGTAGGGGCACAAGCCCAGCTGACAGGCCTGGCCTAGATCTCCAATGCCAATGTGTGGAGTGGGTTACCTGGCACCCTGTCCAAATGCAGGCTCTGACTCAGGGTTCTGGGCTTCCAAGACCCTGCCCGGTTAGAAGCTCCCGGTGCCCAAGCCCCATTTGAGGGCAAAGGGCTGTGTGTTTTTGATGCAATGCATCCCTTCTCCCCATTCTGGAACTGCTGTCATGGCCACGCCGCATCTCGGGGCCACACCTCCAAACCGCTCATCGCTTTTCATGCCTCCGCCTCTCTGTGCTTTTGTTCTGTACCTGCATGTATGTTCTCACTTGGCTGCGAGCACAGCAACTCAGGTCTGACACTTCGCTCTTCTTCAATTCATTATTCAGTATTTTTCATTGAACACATTACAGGTTTTAGTTCCAGAAACTATATTTTGTGCTGTGCTTAAATCTGAGTGTTCTCATAATTTATCATTTGTTGTATTGTGTCTGTGGGACACAGCAAATAATCTCTTACACTACTGGTCACCTAAATGTGCCAGTTGGATTTTGTGGGGTGCCACAGAGCTGGGATCCGGTGGTATAGTGGCCAGACTGTGGGCCATGACAGGTGGAAGACCCTGACTTCTGGACCCAGCAGTGTTCCTCTGATGCTGCTCCCACCACCCAGAGGGCACCCATTGTGCACCCACAGAGCCCACCAGTCCCAGGCTCAGCATCCAGCACATAGGGGAAAGTGGCAGCTCTGCTCCTCCCATTTCTGTTTCTTTAACTCCAGCACTTCCTGAGCTCACACAATGGCAGAGTTGGGATTCAAGCCCAGACCCACCTCCTGCAGAACCTGAGCTGCTAATCATGCCAACTGCTCATGTTATTAAACCTAACTGCAATCTGCCAGGCTGGGTTCGATCCTCCACATAATTCCTTTCCTGTATGTTTCAGGATAGGAGGAGTTAAAACAAAAATGAGATCAAGTTTAAAAAATGTTTAAAGCTAAAGTTCAAGTGAAATGCTTTTGACTTTCATACCCTCTGAGAGAGTATTTTGACTTTCCTCTGAGAGAGTGCTCTCCTGTGCCAGGTGTCACAGCCCAGGATGTCTGCCCTGATACCTCCCGCGGGGCTAGGGGATGGGGCGAGACTGCAAAGAAAACTGTGGAAAGGAGATGCCTGAGAAGCTGCCTTCCACACAGAGGCTGAGTGACAGCACAGATAATGATGAGGGCCAACAAGTCAAATAAAGGAAACCCACAGATTTGCGTGCATAAGTTACCAGTCTTTGAATTCAACATTCAGGAAAAGAGTAATAACCTTTCAACTTGAAAGCTGAGAACTCTTCCTGTTCAAGCAGATGAGGTTGGAAAATGAGGGTTTAAGTGGAGAAAGACTGCTGGGGAATCCTCAGTCATTACACTGCTTCTCAATGGTTCCAACACAGTCTTCAGGGCCCTGCAATGGAGTCCTAGGAACGCCACCCGCAGAGGCCACCGGCCTACCAGGAGGGGAAGAGGAAGGATGGAGAGGTGGTGGGTGTGAAAGGGACTTTCCTGTATGGAAATATTGCTTAAACATCTCCATGCCAAGAGAAGAGAAGAAACAGGAAGAGAAATATTCTGAACAAACGGGAACAGAGTTCACCCGCTACTCAGCACGCAGCTAACAACACAAATGCAGCACGAACAACCTCAGCTGAAGACACGCTTGGAGAGACAACGCCACCCGAGAAGGGATGGTTCTGTTTTGTCTTGACTCACTTCCCTGGAATCCCGGCCCTGCACAGCCCAGGCGCCCACAGCTCTCCCCACCTATGTGGTGGCCTGCATTTATGGCACTGGAGGAGGCAAGGACACCTGCCCGCTCTCGGACCTTGTGAAGGTTCTACTCATGTTAAAATCCCCAGTGAAGAGTGTCCTGTGGACCTGGCCAATGACTCCAGCCAGAGGTGTGTTTTCACAACTAACAGAGGCTGGCGAGGAGGCAGGGAAGACGGGAGCTCTGCTGGCAAGGTGGCAGGAGCCCTGGCAAGGCACCCTGAGTTCACGATGTACCTGCGGCCGCGGGCAGGCACACCTGTCTCTCCTGATGCATTCCCAAGAATGTTTTTTGGTCTCCTTGTCCGTTCCTCAGCTGAACACTGGGTGAGTTCCCAAGTGGGTGCAGAGAGGACCAGGTACTTGAAGGGTTTGGTTAGAGCTGACCCTGAGGATGGTCCAAGAAGCCTGACCTCATACAGGCGAAGCTCAGACTCCTGAACTCTGTCGGTCTATGTGAGCCAGGCCAGGCCACAAAACTTTCAGGAAGGTGAGGAGCTGGCAGCAGGTGCAGAGGTAAGCATGACTACAAAGATCTCAGGCCTAAAATGAGACCCACATTGCCATACACATACTCTGCCAGTTATACCCTGGGTTCAGAGGGCTCCACAGCTATGCATTGTAAAGATCCTCCCTGTCAAGGGGCCCCTCTGTAGGCAGGAAACCCAGATCACCTCCCAAAGAGCCATTTCAATCACTGCATCCGTCAGAGACCAAGCCAGGGAGAGGAAACTATATACATGAGGGTTTGCTATAAATGGGCTGCCTCACACGATCGGGGGCCTGAGCCCTACATCCACCCAGAGGACAGCCCGTCATACCCAGAGGCTGCCACAGGGAAGGCAGATCCAGAGAAAGGATCAGCTCCCATCCAGGGAACGTAGAGGGCTGTGGGTTGGTGAAGTTGGCTCCCAGCACAGGGAAGGAGGGAGTTGAGAGAGACAGCTGCTACCAGTGGCAAAGAAAAGGACTGGCAAAAGCACACGAGCCCAGCACCGTGCTGAAGAGGTGGCACCACATCACTAAAAATCAGGGTGCATCTCAAGTGGCAGGCAGTCTGGCAGGAGAGGCTAACAGGTAGGGTCTGCGACTCCGAGGTGTGTGGCAAGCCCATCCCCTGCACATTGGGGACTTCACGTGTTTGTGGCAGGACCCCAGGGACTTCTGTGCAAGTCCCTGGGCCTACCTTTACTTTGCTGGTTCTCAGTTCCTGCCCTTAGCCAAGCAATCGATGATGGCAGAAGCCACACCAGGAACAGGCTCATCTGCCCAATGAAAGGTCTATGATGTGCACTTCCAGTCCTAGCTGGGGCTCAAGGCCACACAGAGAAAGACCCTGCCCAAACCAAGCACCAGGAGCCACACAGGCTGGATAGAATAGCTTCTGCACCTGCACGGAATAAAGATGGAAGTCTCTGTGTTTTGATGTGTCACAATTTTCAAAGGGAAGTGAAGGGAAGGGAAGGGGAGGGAAAGGGAAAGGAGGGAAGGGGATTGGAATGAGGGGAAGGGGAGGGAAGGGAGAAAGAACAGGCTTTTCTGGGAGGGGTGGCAGCTCTCAGTGGGGCTGATCCTGAGACCACCAGTCACCACAGGACGTGCTGTCCACAGCAGCTGCAGAGCCTTAGCTCTGCTCCCTGCCAGCTGCCTTGGGCTCTGCTCACATTTTGCCCTCTACACCTGTGAGTGCAGCAAAGAGGCAGGCTTCATCCTCTGCTGCTGTAGGAAGGAAGGCTGAGCCCAGGCTATGTCCAGGCTGAAGTTGAGCCCTCAGCATGGAGGTGTGCAACTCACCATGGTAGCGGTGAAGGGGATGTTGTCGATGAGGGACGACGCCAGGGCTGAGACCCACACCACCAGGACAATGGCGGCTGTGAGGCGCTGCTCCTCCGGGACCATCTGGAAGGAGGACAATGGCAGCTGCATGTTCCATCACATGCACTTAGGGTCAGATCCCACCAGCCATGAGTCTCAGAGGGGCCAAGGGTGTTAGTCCTCCCTCTTACCTAACATCCCGAGACCAAGGCAGACACAGGTGTGCAAGTCAGGGCCACACCCACACAAGGAGCCTCCGCTGGGTTTCTACCGGCAATTCCCAGCTGTGCCCAGGCCTGCCAGCCCCTGGGCAAAAAGGCAGAGTGACCCCACCCCTCGTCCATGTCTGGTGGCTGCACACACTGGTCACATTGAGCTGATGGCCCAGCAGACCCCTGGGGTTCGGGTGCCTACAGCACTCATCAACTGAGGCTGGAGTCCAGCACGCTTCTTCTCAGACAGGCTTTAACTAAAGGCTAAAAGCAAAATTGCAGGCATCTGTAATTACATATTCTTTGGAAAAAGCCTGCCTTCATCTCTGGGCTGCACAGGATAAAACAGGTTCCCTGCTGTGCCTTTTTACATAATTAATGCGACCTGTTCCTACCAGAACTGTTTTTTTTTTTTTCACAAAATCAAAGAACAATGGCTGGAGTACATTCTATGAGAGCATGTATCTTACCTTTATTAGCAAGGCAGTTTGTTCTCCGACGTATTCTATTAAGTGGAGATGTGCCAACGCCTGGAAGAAAGGATGTGTGGTGAGAATCAGCATAAAACCAAAAACACATGCGAGATTTAAAGAAAACATGTCTCAAAAATGAAAAGACGTGAACATAAGGTAAACCCAGACTCCTACTTCTTATAAAAGATCAGACTCAAATACACAGTCTATAAATAATTTACTATCATACATGCACAAAGAAGATTCATGGAGAAGAAGTCTGACAGCAGTGGCAGAAATCCCTCACTGATTAGCATTAATGTCCATGTTAAATTTAAATCCGAATGGAAGGCTCTCTTTACGACATGTGTATAGGGATGCTGCTCAATCATATATACCACTCCATATAGGTCTTTCAAGTAAGTCACATTTCCAATTTCTTTTTAAAGTTAAACATCACAGAGTTTGAAAAGAAGCTTTTTAATGCAGCTTTTATGATCTTCAAAGAAAGGAAGGAAAAGTCTCTTTAACTGATGCATGTAACTATTTTGACAATACTAGGTAGATTCAGAAAACTGTACCTAGGGAAAGGCAAGAAAGAGTAGAAGAGAGAAGATGAGGCGCAGGAGCCTTCTGCCCAGGCTGCCAGCGTCCTTTACAGTGATGCCCAGAGGCCCACGACAGAGCCATCATGGGAGGTCACTGGAAGGCAGGAGACAGGGCTTGCTCAGCTGCCCAGCACCTCTTCAGGTGTGGCCTTTTCACTGAGATTCAATCACGCTGAAAGACTGCGAATATTGAAAACATCAGCTTCTCCGTGTTATTTATTTATTTATTTAGACAGTCTTCCTCGTTGCCCAGGCTGGAGTGCAGTGGTGTGATCTCGGCTCACCGCAACCTCTGCCTCCTGGGTTCAACTGATTCTCTTGCTACGGCCTCCTGAGTAGCTGGGACTACAGGAGTGTGATGCCATGCCTGCTAATTTTTGTATTTTTAGTAGAAACAGGGATTTCCCATCTTGGCCAGGCTGGTCTCGAACTCCTGACCTCAGGTGATCCACCCACCTCAGCCTCCCAAAGTGCTCAGATTACAGGTGTGAGCCACCTCACCGAGCCAGCTTGTCCATGTTTAAATTAAGAATTTCAATCTACATACACAGTTGTTAGCTGACCTTCATTTAAAAGCTATGGAGCCCCAATGTTGGGTCTTCAGTCACAACTCTCCACCAAGTTTGCTTGTATATCAACTAAGTCATAAGAAGAATCTCTTTAGAGCAGAGTTTCTCGCCCTCGCCCTGGTAACTTAGAGCCAGGTCGTTCTTTGCTGTGGGGCTGACCTGTGCATTCCACAATGCTGAGCAGTACCCCTGGGCTGGCCCCACCAGATGCCAGCAGTACCTCACTACCACCCGTGTGACAGACAGTCGAAGGTGTCTCCAGACACACAGCCACTATCCTCTGGGCGGTAGAACCACCCCTTAAGAACCAATGTTCCCTGGGGGGTAAAATAAGACCCCATTAAGAACCAATGTTCCCTGGAGGGTAAAATCACCCACTGTTAAAGAATAATTTATCATAATCCAAATTTTATTAAATGAATTTTAAAACTGAAAAAATACTGAATGTAGCTATACCTTTTATTTTGCTTGATATCATCAGTTGAAAGAAAAATCAGAGGTCTAAGGGAAATTAAACTGTTCTGCCAAATGCCAAATAGAGATGGCTCTGTGTATATGACACACACACAGAGTATGGTGTGCACATCTTGAAGTGTACCTATAGACAAGTGTATTTACATACTTAGTAACATATGATTACCCTAAATATCATGGTCTGAGATATGCAGCGTAAGAAGACAAAATGAGATAAAATATTTAAAACACTTTAATATTGCACCTAATAGCTCAAAATAACTAATTTTTTTTAAATATGAAGAAAATACAAACATACTCTTTTACAAAAATGGCAAAAGAAGTAATTATCTAGCATATCCCTATGTATCAGGCCTAACACTGTAGGTATCCCATGTGTATTTGACAGTACGCAAAGTTTACGTGCAGTTGAAGATTACACGCATTCCTCGTCTCCTTCATCAGCTTATGCAGTGAGGAGATGACTGTGTGGTATAAATCAAGATATGCAACATCACTAGTCTCCATCACAGAAATGCTGATTCAGCACTGACCTGACATCCTTGTCCCACTGAAATAAGCCAATACAATAAATCATTGCTACCACTTCTTTCAAAATGATAAACTATGTCTAAGCGTCCCTTCTTCAGCCAAACAAATAGACCCTAGATAAGACATACTTTTTAGCACATTCTAAATCAGCACAACAAGGTATTGCTTTCCAAGGAACCTCTCCCCAGGAAAATGTTTCCTGCAGCTGTATATGAGCTTCAGAACTTGCGTGGCACAGGATGGAAGTGCCTTGAAGCTCCAGGCTGATGAAGCACTGGAGTCAGAGGAGCTATGAACACCTGTGAGTCGGGAGGCTCCACCAAGGTTTCTCACACTGAGCTAAGATCCTTGAAATGCACTAAAATTCTTCCCTGGCATCCAGCAGAAGCAGACACAGCAGTTTCTGGAGGAAAGCATCCCGCCTGCAGGCCCTCAGGAATCCCGCAGAATAAGATGAAGTGATGAGACTGTCGTCTCCATCTCCAGGGCTCAAGATGACAAGCAGCATGAATGAAAGCGGAAACACCAAACAGACCTAGCCAGATCCCAAAGCCGAACAGATGAGGATTCGTAGATACTGAATATAGAAGAGGAATTCTGCTTAAAGAAATCGCGGTTGGAAAGTATAAAAGTACACAATTAACACTGACCCTAGGTGAATTAAGAATGAAGGCCATCATCTTTAGATAACATTAAACCACTAAAAATACCAAAAGAATAAGTAGATAGCTGCCAGGAAAGGGGAACCTGAATTTTAAATAACTCTCAATTAAATCAAATAGAAATTGGCCAATCAAGAAAAATCAAGAAATTTTTTAATTTTTAAAAAAATAATAGAACTTTACATTAATTTTGAATGAATAAAAATGTAAATACAATCAAAATGCACATGAAAACTTGAGGGAAGCAGCTAAAGGGAAATCTGTAGCCTTAAATGTACACAATGGGAAACATGAAGCATGAAAATCAAAAGCTAAGCATCCATCTTTGTGAGTCCAGAAAATAACAACTAAACCCAAAAAAGTGAAGAGAAAATGGTAATTGTAAATGGAAAAGGGGAAAGAGAGAGAGTCACCAAAAACAACAATGAGAAAGAGATCATCACTATAAAGACACTACACTAAACAGATAATGGAGTAAAAAGACCCATCAACTCCAGCATTCTTTCTGCTTCTATACAGACACCATTTGATTTGGCACCATTTGTTGAACAAATGTTTTCTTCACTAAGTGAATTGCTTTGCCACTCTGGCTTAAAATCAGTTGTCTATTTAAATATAACATACACAGAGTCTATTTCTAGACTCTCAATTGTTCCATTAATCTATATCTATCTTTTGCCATTACCACAGTCTTGATTCTACAGCTTTATTATTAAGTCATGAAATCAGGTAAGTGCTCCAGAAGTTGTCCCTTTCTAAAAATAAACGCTTTAGTTATTTGAATTTAGTCATCTGTAGATCTGTATAAATTGTATAATTAGCTTGTCATTCTCTGCAGAAACCCTAGGTCAATTTTTATTCGAATTGCACTTAAATCTCTAAGTCAATATGAGAAGAACTGCACACTAAACAATAGTGAGTCTTCTGATCTATATATGGACTGACTGTATCTCTTCATTAGATCTTTAGATCTTTTACAAAAATTTCAAAATATCTCAGTAATTTTTTGGTATAGGAACCTTGAGTATACTTTTTAAGATTTATGCCTAGGTTTTTTTAGGGTTTGGGGTTCCACTGCAAATGCAATTGTTCCTTAAATATTTTCCAATTATGTGCTGCTAGCATATGAGAATATATTCATTTTTTGGATACTGAACTTGCATCTTCTAACCTTGCTAATTTATACATTAGTTCTGTGGTACTAGATTTTTTGTAGACTACCTCAGATTTTCTACATAAACAATCATATAGCCTGCAAACAAGAACAGTTTTACTTCTCTCATTTTCATGTTTCTGCCCTTTATTTCTTTATATGGTTGTATTACAAGAACTAGGTCCTTGAGTACATTGACTGTTGAATGGAAAAGGTGACTGCCTTGCTGCCAGTCTCATGGAAAAACAATTAGGTTTTTTACCATAAAGTATAAGGTTGACTCCAGGTTTTTCAAAAATGCCTTTCATTAATTTGAGAATTCATAGCTCGCTCTCAAATGCTTTTTCTGCATCTACCGAAATGATCATATGGTTTTTATCCTGCATTATGTTAATATGGAAAATTATACTAATTTGTGAATGTTAAATCAACCTTGGATTTCCAGAATAAACTTTTCTTGGTTATACTGTACTATTTTACATACTGTAAAATTTGATATGATAATGTACTTGGATCTATGTGAGTGGGAGATGTTGATCTGTAATTTTCTTTTCACATAATACCTTTGTCTTAATATCTGGGTAATACTAGACCTGCAAAGTAAGTGGAGAACTGTCCCCCCACCTCCATTATTTTCTGAAAGAGTTTTATACGACTGGTATTATTTCTTACTCAATGTTTAAGAAAATTAAACAGAGAAGCCATTTGTGTTTGGACTTTTCATTATATAAATAATTTTAATTACTAATTCAGCTGCTTTACAGATATAATTCTACTCAGATTTTCTATTAAAACTTGAGTCCAGTTGGTAAGTTATATGTTTTTAAGGAACTATTGCATTTCATGTAGGTCATTGAATTTGTTAGTATAAATTTGTTAACAGATTCTCATTTTTTAATTACTGTAGGGGCTGTGCTGATCGCCTCTCTTTTCTTGATGATATTGGTGATGTGTTCAATTGCTTCTTTTCAAAGAAGCAGCTTTGGGGCTTAGTGGGCATTTCTGTGTTGTCCGTTTTCTGCTTTGTTGACTCTGATCTTATTGTTATTAGTTTCTTCTTCCTACGTATTTTAGTTTTACT